AACTATGATTTCATGGATTGTTGGTTTTAAACAGCAACAATTAGCCTCAGAAGAGATGTTTGAGATATGCTGCTGCTGGCAAWGAGATACTCATCAGAAATATGGATGATCTAATGGATTATGTATTTGAATTTGTAGCCACATTTTGTATTATGGAATTTCCATTTTATGAGTAAGTCTTCAATCTATTGTCATTTGGGTAGTCAATTCAGGAGGTCCATTAGGGACAATTCAAGGTCTGGYTTGTTCTTGTTCTTGGGAATTGATATACTTGAGAAGATTTACATGGTCTCCAATTAGCCTCCTGTACTGTAAAAATCCATCAGCAATTGCTGATTACAAATATTTTTAGCAAAATAGGCGGTGGGGCCCTACTAGCTACTACAGCTTGTACAGAGATTTTGAATTTCACCACAGCTGCTCTCACAAGCAGCTTGTTGACTTAACCACAACTGCTTCCTCCCAAAACAGCTCCAGAAATGCTACTTCTTGTTCCATGTTTAAAAATTACTACCTCTGTTCCTAAATAATGGTACAGTTTGCCCTCCAATAAYGGTACAGTTTGCCCTACTTTGTTTTTTCCAAAATAATGGTACAGTGTTTACTTAAGTGTAYAACACRTAGAATCAGTACTGTAGATAAAAATGAGCATGTGCGTGAATAAAAATTATTTTTGCACATGTAATTAAACAGTCTATTAACACRTGAAACAATTAAATGACAATGGTACRGTGCAACTCTTTTGAACAWGAATGACAAATGCAAGAAAGTTCTYGACACTGAAGAGAATTACAGCCTCAAAAATGTGCCACTCTTKGCTTTCTATAGAAACTGGTCTGGGCTTTAAGTGACCAGTAGAACCCAACTGAAGGAATTTTCATATTGATAAGAAAAAATGGCCCTCTTTAAGTAAATACCACAAGTATGTCCGACACTTTCAATTAATACAATCATTATACTAATAGATCTGTTAAACAAAAAAAGAAGCAGTCAAATCACCCAAATATTGAGCTTAATCCAACCCAAGAGGTGCAAACTGTACCATTATTTAGGAATGAAGGTAGTAATAATTATTTTTCTTGTCAAGAAGGTACTAGTA